TATTCCTTTAAAGACTTGAAATATACATCCTCATAGTATACACGGAGGTCACAGGTAATGTCTTTCAATTCAATCAACTTCCTTCTACTATCTCTATCAAGACATTACAACAGAAGGCACTGTGCTTTCTCCTTGGAATATCCACTCAGCATCCTCTCAGCCCAATAATGTCTCTCTAAACCCCAGGACAAAAGATTCCCTATCCATGAAATATTTCTTAAATGCCTAATTGAATATGATGATCACTGCTTCATTGAAGTTTCCATCTTATTTTGTTTCAACCTTTGCATCTTATCTAATACTTTAATTGCTCACATATATTTTATCTCCTTTATTATATGGCTCCATGGGGACAGAGGCACTCATCTCAGTGTCCCTAATAATAGCTAGTACCTTAAAGTTGGTGCTTAATAATTACTGCTGAAAGAATGAATATACAAATTCTTCCCATTTCTAATTCCTGATAGCTCATTTTCTTTATTTCTCAAATTGGAGAATCTGAGAACAAAAAAGAAATGGTTTGCTGAAACTTGTGATCGTGGTAAATTATATATTTCAGTCTTCTTAAAGTTGACTCCTTTTGGGAATAAGTTCTCCCCAAAGGCTTACCCAGTGATTTCCTAACAGATCTTACAATTCCAAATCAAATACGTCAACATCCCCAAAGGGCTCTTATCTTTTTACAGAAAGTACACTTACTAATAAAATATACTCAGCACTTAATCCACATATTTTTATGCTATTTCTTTTGTCTTTTGTGTGTTTATCTGCATCCATGAAACTTGCTACTGACTTGTCCTGGATGATAGCACATATAAAGAGGTACTTAAATTCTTTTTGACAAGACCTTCAGATTTCCAAATCAATGCATACATTTCCAAAAATGAAGTGGAAATGAAGAAGAGTTTAAAAGCTAAGTGGATTCAATGAGTGAATTCATAAAGTTCTTTATAAGTTCAAAACTTGGTAATACTATCCTGGAAATAATATCCCTATGGTGGGAAATAGAAGAGCAAATGATACTTCAATTTATCTATTAAAGGAGAGAAAATCACCTATATACAAAATTTCAGGTGTTTACCTTTAACTAATCTTAGAAACCATTTATTCTTATGCCCCCTGTCTTAAAATTTAGGAAACTGATGCCCAGAAAGGGAATATTAGAACCAGTGGATATATCCCTTAGATATTCTAACTCTGCAGTTCAAAATCACAGGAGCTAAGATATATTCTTACGTCCAATAGGGGGATTTTTATGGCCACAGAGGGACTGACCTAAAACTTTCCTTGAAAACATCAGTAAGATTATTACAACTTGAAAAATGCAAATCATGAATGGCAGTGGGGAAGACATAACCCAGTGCAGGAGTGTGCTTATGGTTGTTGTATCCTAGATCACAGCTCCTTCTCAAGACATTTTTCTCCAGTGTCAATCTTAAAATCCTCTCACGGTTCCTAAACTCATGAAAAAACTAAATTATAGGCAGCAAAATGGAACTCTTATAAGGTTGCTACATACCTGATTAAGTTTTGAGGTTTATGCAACCAGGTTTTATGACTAGTTTTAAGGATGAATATATTTATTATGTCCTTTCTCTTTTTCTTCCTCCCTCTCTGTAAGTGCCTGGTACATTATAGAAGCTGAATAAATTTGGTTGTTGCTGAAATGAAAGGTTCAATAGATTTTGTTTAAAGATTAGAAGAGAGAGTGTGCGTCTGACCATTAATAATGATTAAATTTTCTTATAGAACTTTTATTTTTGCTTTTCCTCACTAAAAGCATCTTTCTCTAGAGCCTTGTTAGTACAGATATTCTCTCTCTCTCATCCACAGTACAGGTATATATATCCTGCCCATTCTCAGTACTCTGTAGTATAACTAAGGCTTCAGAAATAACAATGAGAAGATTCAAATGTTTGAGAATGGGACTCAGAACTATACTGATGTTACTCTCAGAGGACTGGAAATAACTTCTGAAATAGCCAGAAAAAGAAGAGGAAAAGTCAATAGGTAATAAACTTCCACTATCAGTGTCACATTGAGAAGCAGGGAGTAAGAACCCTCATGGTCCCAGGGGAATGGCCAGGAATATCTGATCAAATCTGTAATAAAGCCAAAATGTTAGCAGTAAAGATGATGAGTGTAATGCTGTTGAAGGAGGAACTCATTTATTTTCAGAAGATTCAAAGGAAAATTAAAACTGGCTGGGCAGAACAAGACTGGGTTGAATATAATAGTTGCCCATCATTTGTCACTGAATTCTCCCTTCTAACCAGAAAGGATCAAAATGAGCCATTTTACCAATCCAGTGGGATTTCCTACCTCTGTAGCTCTGGAATAGTGAACCACAGAAGACGCCAGAATATGCTTTAAAAGTCAATGAAGATGCTGGGATGTTCTTGCTCAGCTCAAGATCTTGTTTTCTCCCCCAGATTTCCATGTACCTCCCCCTTGTTGGGACTGGGGAGTGACATCAGAATCACAACTGGTGATATCACCATCTCTATAGCAACAGTGTGAAGCTGCTAGACATTGAATAGTGCAAAGGATGAGAGGAGTGGTGAATACATATTCTAAGGCTCCATGTTTCCTTTGACAGGACTAGGAGTGTTTTCTTCTGATTATTTCTCTCCTTTAAGCATTTAATTGGGGGTGTATGGGAAGGATAATTTTTGTCAATGGATTCCATTTAAAACACGAGAATAAGTATTATTTATTAAATCCAGATGGCTGCAGAAGAGTAATAACAGAATTCTGAGTCAACTATTTTTCTTATGCAAAGCCAAGGAATCACCTCATTTTGTAAGATTCAGGCTGGACTCTTTATACCTGACCATTTCCGGGTTATAATTTTCTTAGATGAGCAAAGGTAGTACTAATTCATCCTTTATAAAGTGACCTGAGGAGGTGTACTGGGATAAATCAGATCAAGAGATATGTGGATGGTGATCCCTACTAGACTTGATGAAGACTTCACAGTATATTTTCTTTTGAAAATGTTACCATAGATAGTGTGTATTTAATGTGTATAACATATATAGTTTTCATGACAAAGAATTTTCAATCAAGGTTATTAAATGAGATTCAAACTGTAGATTGGTTTATTATAGGCTTCCTTCTACAAAGGTATTTATCTATTGATTATCTTTTATATTAGGTCTGTTTCTTTATCTTTCAAATAAAGTACCTGAGCTCTTTTAGGTTCTTTCCAGCTCTAGCTTCTATGATTTGGATATTTCAGTATATTTGAATAGAACTACAATGTCCCTGAACATAGTACTTTGCAGTTGATAAAGCTGCTTCATATCCATGTCATCTGAATCTCATCCTCACAATTTTTGAGGTTAACATAGCAGGTATTATTTTCTATGTCAGATAGGCATAGAAGCTTGTTCAGGTCACAACTAATAACTGATAGAACTAGGATTGGATCTATATAGTGGATGTTAAAATTAGTGCTCTTTCAATAATATCATGATATCTTGGAACTAGAATTGAGAACATGAGGAAATATTCGAGTTAGAGGTGTTAAAAAGCATACTTGTTACACGGGGGTGGGGGTGGTGTATGTAACTACTGATGGTAGTAGGGGGGGTCTCTCAATATATCAGAACTAGAAAAGTATGTTAACATTCATATTGATCCCTGAATCAAGTATGTTTTAGCAAATTGTAAATGCAAAGTGAACATAGGATAAAGCTAACAAATAAAAGAAGCTGTAATATTGCTAAGCTTCTCATATGAAATTCAAGGATTTCTTTCTATTTCCTATTCGATGTGGCAGGTGACACTTCAGTAAACGGTAGGGATGACATAGAGTGGAAATAACCACCTTAATAGCCTAGCAAAAGTCAACCCTACTCACTGTTGGCTTATTGTTTATCCCAGCAACAGTCTTTCTTCCTGAAAAATCCAAGCACTAAAAGGGTAGAAAGATCCTCCCAAACTAGGCTGTTTTCTGATAAGCCTGAAGTATGTTCCCAGGATCACTGGTTATCTTCTACTCAGGGATCTCCAGAGGTTACCACAATAAAGTATTTTAAAATACAAATGGTTCATCTTTCTGGATTTCCTTCAGCACCAAGTGGTTCTTTCTAGAACTATGCAGATTTTCTAAGGGATCCATACTTAAAAAAAAATTACAAACCATCGTTTTAAAGAGAGCCATCCGCCGTTTCTCTGTAGAAAAATGGTTAGATGGCATTTTTTGATAGATTTTCTTAGGTTTGCTCACGAATTTCCCTCCAAGATAAAGATTTTGGATTCACAAGTTAGGTGGTAAGTGCTTTGATAAAGAAAACCAAAACCCAAACAAAACAGGATAGGTGGAATGATCACCACCTTGGATCCGAGGGCGGTAACAGTCTCCGAAGGGGTCACCTATGAGCAGAGACTTGAACTGGTTACAGTCATTGCTGTGAGCGTTCCAAAAGTGGGCACAGTAAGCAAAAAGGCCAGGAGGAGAAAACGTGCTTGGACGACTCGAGGTGTATTTATTCACTGGAGGCCCATCCTCATTTCTATTTTTCTTCCCGACTTGTCCTTTCCAGGGCGCCCCAAGATCCCGCTTTAACATCCTTTCTCTTTCCTGGGTCCAGGAACTTCGAGAGCGCGGAGCCACGCCTCCTCCTCACCCCAGCCTCAACAGGGTTGCCCCTTCATTTCGGGGAACAGTGAACTCAAGAGTTGAGCGCCTCTACCTCGGTTCTGCCATTTTGTATGCCCTTGGGTCAGTCCCTGGTTGGCTCTGAACTTCAGGATCCTAGCAATGAGATTATCTTTACGGTCCATTCTGGATCTGAGGTCCCCCACTATTTTTTTCCTTTTTTCCCCCTTGTCTTCACCCTTTTTCATTTCTGAGCTTCTCTCTTTTTCCCGCACCCTTCTCAACCGCACTGTATTGCAACCTGCGACCCGCCCGGTCCATTTCCGGTTAGCGCCTGCGCAGACAGAAGAGGAAGAGAAAGCTTGAGCCAGATCAGCAGCCGTAGTCGGTCGGAGCGCCGGCCGTGGGGGATTGTGGGAGAAGATGGCGGCCGCCGTACACCCCCGGTTCGTCCGGGCTCTGCCAATGTCACGTAAGTGTCACTGGGAACTGCTGTCCGTGATCGGGTCCCGAAGCCGGGATTTAAGGTGAAGGGAGTGGAGCCGTGCCGAGGACTCCTTCGGCACCCTCGTTTGTCTAGGTTCTGAGCTGCCTGTGTTCAGTTTCTCCTTTCCTTTTTCTCCTCCGCTTACATATTAAATCGTGCACTTGGGAAGGCAAACAGAGAACTGAGCAGAGGGGAAGGGAAAAGGAAAAAATAGGGGCACTAAAGAATCGAGATAATCAGAGTTCGGATAGAGTTGTAAGGGTTTGGGGTTGTGAGAAACACTTGAATGGAGTGGGGGGAGGAATCTGAAAAGGAGAGGAAACGAGGGTACTGGAGAGATTTCTTATGGATTGGCTTTATGACCTTGTGCAAACCCTTCATCAGTCTTAACTTCAGATTCTTCATGTCACAATGTAATGGATAATCACACAACGTCAGGGAGTCTCTGAGAAAGATTAAATGAAGTAATATTTATAAAAGTGTCTTCCTAACCAAAAGTGCCTCTATAAACGTTAGGTCAAGGTTGTGTGGTTTGTGGGTAGAGAGGGATGTTGGTGGAGAAATAATAAGGAGATTGATGGAAAGAAGTGTGAAGAATGAAGGATATTAGGCTTTGTCACCGTTGTTTATTTTCTCTTCTATTTTCATTGGATCTGTTTTCAGTTCTCAAATTGAAAACATACTTTTGCTCTTCCAGTCATTACAAGGCAAGAAAGCAAAGACATTAGGAATTCAGTTACACTCCATTATCACTCTTTCACTCTGCACTCCCCCATAAACATGCCAATCACCCAAAGTTATATTTTTTCCACCATGTATTTTAGTTATTACAGAAAGTCACTTTTTCTCAAAATTGCCTCGTGTCAGAATTACTATTGGAGTTTTATGAAGAATATAATTGGGGGCTCCTTGTAGAGCTGTCAAATCAGAATTTTCGAGATTAGCTCCTTGCACCTCAAAATTTTAAAAGCATTGCAGGTAGTTTTAATGTTCACCTGAGGTAAGAATCTGGAGTGTTCAGGATTTTTTTGTCTTGTTTCCATCTTGGTTAGAATTCCTGTGTACTGCTGGAATGTGGCTTTGCACATCAATTACAGTGTATGGTTTTTTAAACATGACTTCTTTGCAAAGGCATTAAATTATATTAGTGAGACGTAATGAAGACTGTGAATGAGAACTGATTTATATTGAGTACTTGCTGTCTGCTTAACAAGTTCTAGATATTTTCTGGATTTAATTTTTTTTTAGTATTTATTTTTTAGTTGTAGTTGAACACAATACCTTTATTTTATTTATTTATTTTTATGCGGTTCTGAGGATTGAACCCAGGGCCTCAAATGTGCTAGGTGAGTGTTCTGCTGAGCCACAACCCCCGCCCCTGGATTTTTTGTTTTTTCTTTAACTGACTTTTCCTTAGTAGACATTGTAGCTTATGCTCTTAACTACGCTGCTTTATCGTCTCTGGTAATGTGAGTGAGTAAACGCTGAAGAGGCAAGTTTAGTATGTGGTATAATCCAAACATTGTAGAACAGTACTATGTAAAACAGTTGTATATACTTATACATGGAAGACTAGTAAATAAAATATCAAATCAAAAAGGGAAAGATTAATATCATTTGAGGTAGCCAGGGTACATTTGCACACCAGTGGAGAATTGTAGCCCCTCTACCAAACAGTCATTTCCTCCTTCTACTGGGTCATTTTCCTCAGCATATAAATATAATACTTCATATTATAAAAAACAACAATCTTTCCTGGTCCTCATGTCTTCTAGTCTCATTACTCTTTCCCCCTTACATTTCTTCCCAGAATTATCTGTATTTCTCTTACTACCACTTGTCTCACATTCTCTTTCTTGTTTGCTCTACTCTTCCTTGCATTCCCACTAATAGAACAGAATTGCTTGTTAAGGTCTGTGATCTTCCGGTATTTCTTCACTTTTCAGCAGCATTTGATAGAGCTAATTGTTCTCTCATTGAAACACTTTATTTGGTTTCTGGATACCATTTCCTTTTATTTTTTCTAGTATCTCACTGGTCTGTTTTTCAGTCTCTTAATGGCTTTTGGGCTGGTCACTAACCTCTTCGAACCTTAGTTTCCTCATCTATAAAGTGGTGATAAAGATAACATTTAATAAGATAATATCTGTTAAGCACTTAGAATGATGCTGGACACCTGGTAAGATTTCTATAAGTTTAGCTGTTGTTATGTTATTATTATGGGTCTGATCTGTGTTTGATTTTAATTTCTGTGGTTTCAACTATTGTTCTGAAAACCAGGCTATTTCTCTAATTTCATACTTTGATTTCTGATTTTGTTTTTATTTTTTTGCAACATGGCAGCTGTGAAGCCTTGCTATGTTGCCCAGGCTGGCCTTGCACTCCTGGGATCGAGGGATCCTGCTTGTGCCTCCTGAGTAACTAGAACTACAAGTATGCACCATCATGCCAGGCCTCAATTCCATACTTTTTGATAGGGAAAAACAGTTTTGTGCAGAGTGCCACTGGGAAGTTATTCCCAGAAAACAAACACAAATTTTCTAAAGAAATTACCATTTATGTCTTTCATTTTCTTCCAAGCATACACAGTGCCAGTGCTAAACTCCAAAATTTGATGACAGGAATGGAAGCTCTTCAGCATTTTAAACATTTTTACTTATTTCTACTTAGGTGAAAGTTGGGTAACTTGCTCTAAAATTCTCCTTTAAGAAGTTATAAGGGACTGAGAAATTGGAACATATCCAAAGGGAATTTACATTTCTGCCATAGGAGGGGAAGTTGATGGAAGTGGAGATGTTTAACCTGCAGAAGAGAATATTTAGTGGGAATATAATTGCTACAGTTAGATGTGAAGAGGAATTAGACTTGTTCTTTGTTATTCCAGAGAAAGATGAGGAATAAAAGTACTAAGAATCACTCTCATGATTAGAATGACTCAAATCAGAATGGGCTACTATAGGAAATAGTGGATTTCCCAACCCTGCAGATGCACCTGCCAAGGCCAGATGGTCTCTTTGCACACATACTACACAGAGCTGTAAGTACTGATGCACTGATTTTGAGGATTTCTTCTAGTACCAAGAAACCAAGTCCGTAAAAGAGAAATTGTGGGAGGTATGACAAATCACTTGCTGTTAACCTTTCTAAAAATCAGAAAATGTTTTTGCAAGTACTTTGCTCACTAAGTCATCATTTTGATGTTTTCCAGTGGTTTTATATTAAGTCTGAATTGCATCTTTTTTTCCCCTAATGCTCTGTACTAACAATTCTCTGCCTTCAGTCCATATCATCAACTTTATTTTTCACTAGTCATCATTTTAGAATGTGTTCCAGATAGGTCTTTTAATGTTAACTTGTGCTAGTATTATTCTTTCTGACCTCTACATTGTTGTATGTGATGTGTTTCTCTTGGAGTTCTATTTTTTCTGCTATTCCACTTTAAGACCTTTCTTAATACATTTTATTCAGGAGTTCTTCCTCATGGCAGTATGACTTAATGTGATTTATCTTCCTGGGTATATTATATCCTGTGGGGCAAGGAGCTTACTTCTTGATTTTTCTGTATTTCCTCATGTCCTAGGGATTTTGTATTGCAATAATTTGCTGTTTATTATTACTATTGCTAATTTATTACTAAATTACTGAGGTGTTGATTACAAAATAATGTTTCCAGGGAAAGAAGCTTTGTGTATTCACAGATAATTTTATATTATCATATGGTGTTTTATATATCATGTTTTTTTTTTCCCACAAAGGTTCTGCTATTTCTGCAGTAGCCACATCTGTGGTTTATGGTCTACCCTGTCGCCAGCTTCATCATGCTCTCATTCCTCATGGAAAAGGTGGGCGTTCTTCTGTCAGTGGGGTCGTGGCTACTGTGTTTGGAGCAACAGGCTTCCTGGGCCGATATGTTGTCAACCATCTTGGTAAGTAAAGTTCCTTGAGTTCAGACTGCTCCCTTGCCATTGGTTAGGATTGCCCAATGAGAGGCCATCAGCTATGTTTCTTTTCATTTAATAGTATCCAAGTTCCTTCTATGTTGGGATATATGTAATTTTTATTTACTGTACATTAAGAGTATAGTCATGCTTCCTACTTAAGACATTAAGATGGGAATAATGAACTGAAAAGTTATAACATCGTTAGCATGACAAAATATGCTTTTTATCAATTCACATATCATACTAGAATTTATATATTTATATATACAAATCATTGTATAACGTGTATATTATATCGATGTTGATCCTTGTTTCAATTCATTTTTTAGGACGGATGGGGTCACAGGTGATCATACCCTATCGGTGTGATCCTTATGACGTTATGCATCTTCGGCCCATGGGTGATCTGGGTCAGATTATCTTTCTGGTAAGACCTATATGACTAATAATTGGAGTTGATGAATGTAAATTAAAAGAAAGGTCATTTTTAAGAGAAAGAGGAAGGATAATTTTATCCCAGAATGGACCAGGAGTATCCTTTATTTGTAAGTTCCTTCAGTTAGGTTCCTGTATCTCTTGTTTTGTTATGCAAGTGTTACAGCAGTAGATGGCAGGGGTTTTATGTGAGGGCTAGATAATAAATATTTCAGACTTTTTAGGCCGGCCGTCAGTAGGTGGCTGTTTTCCATTAAAACTTTGTTTATAACATCAGGCTGCAGGCCAGATTTGGCCTATGGATTATAGTTTGCTAATTCCTACTCCAGGCCTGTTCTGTCCAATGTGATAGCCACCAGCCACATGGTGGCTCTCAAGCACTTGAAATGTAAGATGTGCTGTAAGTATAAAATGCAAATTTCAACAACTTAGTATGGAAAAAATAATATTCAATGTATCAGTGATTTTTGTAGTTATTACACATTGAAATAGTGAACCGATATATCAGGTTAAATAAAGTATATACTAAAATGAGTTTCTTTTATTTTACTCTTTTAAATGTGGCTATTAGAAAATTTAGAAAGTAGAAAATTCAGAAAGTAGTAAATTCAGAATTACATATATACTTCATTTATATTTCTATGGAATGGTACTTTTATAATAAGAAAACTATCTCCAATGGGATATTTTATAACTTAGTTCACTTAGCATGGATTTAACTTAGAACACCTTCCCAAACATTCCCTGTTGACATTCTTTTTTTGGGGTGGGGAGTACTAGGAATTGAACTCAGAGACACTTAACCACTGAGCCACATCTCCAACCCTTTTTTGTATTTATTTAGAGACAGGGTCTCACTGAGTTGCTTAGTGCCTCTGCTGTTGCTGAGGCTGGCTTTGAACTCGTGATCCTCCTGTCTCAGCCTCCCAAGCCGATGGGATTACTGTGTTCACCACCACGCTCGGCCCTGTTGTTGTTCTTTAATCTATAGGGTCTTCCTTTAGGCCAGAGTTGCCAATGGGGCAAGGCAAGGAGGATGGGAAGAACCTTGAAGGGAGTGATTAAAAATGCCTAAGTTGTACAGTAATTATAGAGCCGTACTGGCTTATCAGATAGAGACTAAGGATGCTCAGTATCCTACAGTGCTCAGAATAGTTCTTTTCCACAAAGAATTATACTGCCCAGAATGCCTGTAGCTGTCTTATTGATTGCTGCCCATTCTGGGCCTTGATGTTTGGCTTAAATATGCTTTTAGCCAAGTTTCTACTTTTGTCATACTCTATGAAAACTGAGCTCTTCCATTTATACTCTTTGCCTTTAAAAATTACTGGTAAATATCTTAACATCTCTGACATGATATTCATACAGATGATTTGAAATCCCCTTAAATTTTGACTTTTTTTTTTTAACTTGTTTGTAATGACATTTTCATTTGTTTCTTCTTAAATACTCAAGCTAAGTGTAATAGTTATGTTGGACATTTCTTGTTTCTCAAATATTTTTCTTTTCCAATAGTTTATTATCAAATATCTTCTTAACATTATAAGTGCAGAAGCTTAGCTTTTCACCAATTTGTCTTTTTTCTTCTCCCTTACACTAGGGATTCTACTACTGAGCTACATCCCTAGACCTTTTTATTTTTTATTTTCATATAAGGTCTCCTTAAATTGTGGAGGCTGATCTCCAACTTGTGATTTGCCTATCTCATTGAAAATACAGGTGTGTGCCACTGCACCCAACTTTCTCTAGTTCTTTGTAACTTAATTTTATTGATCACTTTGTTAGTGCCTCTGAATTAAAGTATTTCACCACAGATCGGTGAGACCTTTGACTAGCTTGCAAACATGGAATCACTAGAATTGAGCCATATGACATTTACTTTATTCTTCCTACAGGTAGTAATTTACTCAGTACCTAGTATTGAGCTGTGCTTTAAGCATGTCTTAATGAGTAAGACTTAAGGCAACTGAGAATCCAGTGTGTTGAGTGTTTTTTTAATGTGCTTATTTTTGAGACAGGCCATTTTGAGTAGGGGGTATGATTTCCTCACTTTAATCCATTTGAAAGTGTTATATAAATGGCTACTTGGTTTACCAGCCTCCTTATGCCTCTTGGGCCTTATCCTTGAGAATTTGGTTTCCTTTTGATTTCTTCTATGCTGTTAGTTCACACAGTTATGCCTCAAGCTCTTCTACTCTGAGTCATCTGGCATACTTTTCTAATCCTTGGCATCTTTTCTGATAACACCTTTTTTTATCTTTATGTACAGAGCTAGTTTTTTGTTAAGTATATCATTCATTGTGCAGAATATTTGATGTATATGTAGTCTTCAGAGAGCACCCTCACGAGGTAGACTGTATTTTTTCCCTCCCTGCCTCTCTCTCTCTTTCTTTTGCTGGGGATTGAGCCCAGAGGTACTCTATTACTGAGCTATACCCCCAGCTCATTTTATTTTTTATTTTGAAATGGGTCTTACTATGTTGCCTAGGCTGACCTTGAACTTGCATTTCCCCCTGCCTCAGCCTCCCTAATAACTGGAATTAAAGGTATGGGCCATTGCACCAAATTTTAATATTTTCTAATTTTACCTGGGGTTTGGAGAAATAACTTATTCAAAGTTAGTAAATGGCAAACTGGGTCTGCATGCCTCTGTTTGACTCCAATACTACCATTTTATACTGTTTGCCCCACACTCCATCATCAGTTCCAACTGGTTTTTGCTGGGGCTTCATATTTTTGTTCTTGATTTTGATTTTCCTTTTTTTTCTAGTACATTTAAGTCCATTCTCTTTCTCTCCCACTGCTCCCCACCCCCTGTTTTTCCCTCTCCCTGTGTCATTGCACTGACATACACACTCTCTCTCTCTCTCTCTCTCTCTCTCTTAGTATTTGGGCCTAGAATTATTACATATCTTTCATTGAAGTGCTTACAGAGTTCAATTTTCATTTTAATATAGGAAATTTTTTTTTTGGGTTATTTAATTCTCAGACATTATTTTGGACAAATTCATCATCGACTTAAGTCCTAAATGACTAATAAACTGTTCAAAAGTGTAGTTTTATGCCAAAACCTGAGGTTTTAGTCAGTTCATTTCTTTAGTTTTCGTGTCTTTAAGGTAGAAATTATTAGATCTGAAATTATAAAAAGGGAAGAAATTACAAAGAAATAAAGAAATAGTCATGAATGTCCCCCACCCCATTTAGCTAGACTTTAAAAGCCCTTCTTTTATCTTCAGTCTGTAAGTGGTGGATAAACAGGGGATGTGTCTTTATCTCCCAAATGACCCTTTGTTCTTTGGCTGTTTCAGGAAGGGAAATTTGATTACTGAATTCCTTTATAAACTTGGGTAGTTGGGTGGACAAAAATTAATATCTAAAATATGAACTGCCTCTTAGGTTCTGTTATTTGATTGCCTGAGTAAAATATTTTTTTAACCTGTTTGTCCCAGAAGAGTCAAGAGAATCAGCATTGAGCCTGAGACCTCCGTCTCATTTCCATTGTAATCAATGGAACCTGTTTAAATGCCACCATATTGAGACTAGAGTATATGGTCCATTTTAAAACTTGCCTAGGAGGCTATGGAAGCATTAGGTGCCAGGGTGGGCCCCTTATGTTTTCATCTGATTGGCTCTTACTGCTATAGGAATGGAATGGGAGAGACAAAGATTCTATCCGAAGAGCGGTGGAGCACAGCAATGTGGTCATTAATCTTGTTGGACGAGACTGGGAAACCAGGTAATCTCAGTCTCTTATTTCTTTCTTGTGTAAGTCTAAGGATTCAGTAGACTTTTATTGGACACCTTCTATATGCCAGGCATGGTAGTAACATTTTCACTTAGCCCATCAATAAGAATTGATTAAATGATCCACATGTATATGTCTAGTGACACTCATTAGATTCACTTGGGAGTATGTCTGGTGTAAGTCAGCAGTGTGATATGATGCCCTTAAAATCCAATGTGGGGTGTGTCAGTGTGATTGATGATATCAACTAGACAGTGAATGATGTTGGGTCTGTGCTTGTGTGAACAACGTTCTAGACTGCTTCTCTGTATTTTTAATTGAAGATGGCATAAGTACTGCCATGAATAGTTCTGTTTGGCTTTTGTATAAGTTATCAAAAAGTAGTGTTTTAATCTTATAGTTCTATAATAATACTTTATTCACATCCTTTTCTTTAAGTGTTTACTAAAGTTGGACTTGGATTTCTTTGTATATGTCTGTTTCATCAAATATTTTAAGTTCTTTGATTATTTCCAGGGTCATACTCAACTTTATGACTCTCATAACAACCAACATAGTGATTTGTACCAAGCAAGCATTTAGTTAATGTTGTACATTGAATTGGTGACTGAGGTTTTTTTTAAAAAATATTTATTTTTTAGTTTTAGGTGGACACAATATCTTTATTTTCCATTTATGTGGTGCTGAGGATCGAACCTAGTGCTTCATGGGTGCTAGGTGAGCACTCTACCATTGAACCACAATCCCAGCCCCAGTGACTGAGTTTTTAGTTTCTTTTTTTTCCCTTGAGAGAAACAAAGTCCCAGAAATAAAAACAAAGTTCCTTTCAAGCCCCTACACTTTCCTCCACCCACTGACCAGAATAGTCAGGTTTTCTTATAGGGCCACAACCTTGTGATTCTTTGAGAACACAGAATATTTTTTTGGATTTGCAACTCAGAATAAGTCTCAACTGTATAGTAATGACAGCAGTCAGGCCTATAAGCTCTATAAAAGCATTAATCTTGGCTTATAGTTAAATCATTACTGTTTTAAAGTTTAACTTCTGTGAAAACCAGCTTATCACAAAAAGCTTTGAAATCCTGTCTGAGTTCTGAACTAATCCCTTTTGTTTTCTTCTAGAAACTTTGATTTTGAGGATGTCTTTGTGAAGATTCCCCAAACAATAGCTCAAATTTCTAAGGAAGCTGGAGTTGAAAAATTCATCCATGTTTCCCATCTGAATGCAAATATTAGAAGCTCTTCTAGATATCTGAGAAATAAGGTAAGTAACAAGTTGATTTGGGGCTTCACAGAGCTAGAGTTTCTTAGTTCCTTTGAAACATGATGTAAATGAGAATGATTTCTCATCAATGTTTTGAGAATTAAAAGGGTTTCTAGTTCTCTGTATCCAGAATTAGATGTGCATGTGTGTTGTGTATTGATATTTTGATTGAGTGCCTTCTGTTTGAATGCTAAGGGGTTTCAAAGAGTGTATTATTACCTGCTCTTTGATGCTTTAAAGTTTCTTTGATTACACAGAAAAGATCAGAAAAGGTAGAGTATGATTTTTGCTAAAGGAGGCATACCTGTGTTACCTACTGTGGGAAAGAATCATCTGTTTCCCTCATATATCTTGCATAGTCATGGGTTTGTGCCATTCTTTCATGGGTGATATGAAGGTTGAGAATGACAAGGACAAACACTTGCCAGGGAAAAGGGCTCTTCACATAGGGCTTAGTCTTCTTTTATTCCCAGAAACTACATGTAGTCCAGATGATACTGAGCTTGATTACTCTGGTTTGAAGTCAGACTATAACCTGAAATGTCTTCATTATCAGGGACTTATAAGGGATGTTGCTGTCCGATTGCTCTTAGCATTTGGTTTTTACCATAATGATTCTGTCTTGAGTCATACTGTTGAGGGAAACAAGCCTTGACACTGGCTCTAAATTTTTGACCCATGGCATTTACTTATTGAATAAATTGTTTACTAATCACTGACTGCGTGCCACATGTTGTTAGGCACTCTGCATACAGTATTGAATAAGAGGCAGGGTCCTTATTTTGCAAAGTAGCAAAATGTACTTCAGGAATGTATAATGGGGAGAAAGTGCACATATTAGTTAGGAGCATTTAATTACTAGCATTAGAAAATCTAGTGTAAACTGGGTTAACCACAAAGACAATTTATAGGCTCATGTATCTGAAAAATCCAGCAATAGAGAACCCTCACTACAGATTGTTGCCAAGGATTTTTTGGCCTCCAGCTTTGCTTCTCTGCTTCTCTTTGACTTTCCTTGTGTGAGCTTTGTCTTTCACAGTCACAAAACTGGCTCACAGCACATCCAGGCCTTACACTTGTATGCTCTGCTGAAGAAAGAAGAAATGAGCATGAAGGCACTTGTGCTTACCTCTGCCCTACTGTTCCTGAAATGATTCGCATATCACGGTTGTTTGAGAGGGGATAGGAGTGTTGGTGGTAAGAAAGAGAAGAGTCAAAACCTTGTAGCCCTCTGGATTAGCCACTGGGATGATGGTGGCACTGTTGAATAAGAAATACTTGAGAGTTACTAGGATTTCCGGCAGTGCTTCTTCACCCTGGTTGCACATTAGAATCCACTGAGAGAGCTCTTAAAATTCTCAATGTCCAGGTTGCACTACAGTCACAAATAAAAACAGAATCTACAGGGATTGTGGAATGTGCAGCAAAGATTGAGAGGCACTGTTTACTTGAGAGAATGGAAGGTGATTCGGTTTTGGACTTGGGTTTCAGTTGTGTTCTACATATGTCTCAGTCATTCAGGTAACATTGGTAAAAGGACTTTATGAAAAGTTCAGAAGAAAGGTTTGTTTTGTAGATAGAAATTGGGAGTCACCAGCATTTGTCATTAATTAGGGTAGTGAGAGGGCATAAGATGGCCTAGTGAATAAATGTAGGTTCAGAAGAGAATTTTGAACAGAGACTAGAGGAAAACTAGTGATTAGTGATCTGAGAGAGGAATAGGTACCTGCAAAAATCAAATCAAAACTAACAAAAAGACTGAAGAGATGAGGACAAGGTAAGGTAGAAGGGAAACAGGAGAGTACAATGTTATGAAAGCCAAGAGAATTCAGTGGAGGAAGAAGGGTTACTTATGAGCGCCATTGATGAGAACTGTAATGTCTTGAATTGTGGACATAGAAGTCATTTTAGGAAAAATTGTTTCAGTGCAGGGTGAGTTGCCAGAGGAGAAAATGGTTGTTTGTGGTGAGACCTTGAGGTGTTTTCTTTTGCTCTTATGTTTTCTCTTCAATTTAGAAGATGAAGTTATTTGGAAAGAAGAGGAAAGAAAGGGGAGTCTGAGATTTGAATAGAAAAAGCTTGAAATGCTCAAAGGGAAAAGTCAGTTAATTAGAAGAAAACACTATTGTTGGGAAATGTGAGGGCCCACTTAAGTTGATGGCATAGATTTATAATGGTTCTAATTTATGATTTTTATTTATTTTACTTTTAGCTGCTAAAGGCAGCAGGAGTACATGACTCAAAGGATGCTAATGGCATTCCTCCATAAGGATTTTGCCTGGTGGATGGAGTAAAGGACACAGGGACAAAGTTTTTACAAAAATGATAAGAGAGTGATTGAAAAGATGAGCCTTGGAATCTAATATGTGATGGGTGGCCAGGAAAGGTAGGCAGGGTTGATATAGGGGAAACAGAATTAGTGGACTAGAGTCTCTGAGAAGGTTGAGGAACAGGTGTTCCAGCAGTAGATGAACCAAGAATAAACAGGCTGGATGTGTAGGAGATTCTCATCTAAGCATAGCATATCTTCATTTAATGTTTCAGAAGAAGGTCACTTTCCAACATTGATTAAGCCTGTGATGTAACTAAGTTGAGAGTGATAGAAGTGGAGTGAAGAGATTGTAAGACTGGAGAAACTCAAGAATCTGAGAGGTTCAATTCCACATGGGCGTTGATGTCATCCACATTGGTGCTATAGGTTGAAAAGGAAGATCTAGGGGCCAGTGCATTCATGGAACAAAAGAGCTTGAGTAGGAGGTTAGTAGTGGGTAACAAGTAGTTGAGATTAGGAAGGTTAAGGACCTTCTGTGGATATAGGTATGCACTGCTACCACTTCCTTTACTTTGGCCCACTGCCACCATGCTCTTCTTTCTCTGTCAGACTGCTCGGTTGTTGACACAAACCACAGAATTTTGAAGTAAGAGGAAAAATGGAGTCTGAAAAATTCTACTCTGGCTTTTCTCCTTTCTTTTTTCAATGCCAGTTCCTACAGTATGAAAATGTGAAAAAAACCCAAAAGAATGTTAGAAGAGGCAGAGTGTGTGTGTGTGTGTTTACCATTCTGTGTGATTGAGTTTTGTGAATAATGTTATTCCTTCACCTCAAGGGAAATATGACCTTTGAAATACAAGTAGTGTCCTGATAATGAAAAGAATAGACGCTTTGTTCACCCGTCTCAGAATTTAGAACAATTTTGTTTCTGGCTGTTTGTTTAGGCTGTTGGAGAGAATGAAGTGAGAAATGCATTTCCAGAAGCTACAATCATAAAACCTTCAGACATCTTTGGAAGAGAAGATAGATTTCTCAACCATTTTGCAAGTATGTATTCTTTCTTAATAGTAGAAGAGAGGGATATAGGTTAACCAAGTTCAAGAAGAGCATAAGTAACAGTGTTCTCTGGCTTGACAGACTAGGTTGTATTTTTCTTCCCCAGTTGTCTTTTTTTTTCTTTTTAATATTTGTTTTTTAGTTGTAGTTGGACACATATTTATTTTTATGTGGTGCTGAGGACTGAACCCAGGTCCTTGAACGTGCTAGGCGAGTGCTTTACCTCTGAGCCATAACCCCCAGCCTCCCCAGTTGTCTTTTTATCTCCTAAAGTTAAATTTTTATTGTTAATAAGGTCCTTCCTATTTCTGGGAAATGTTGAAGGCTCAGTTAAAATTGGGGGTGCCAATGGAATTATAGTGGTACCAATTTATTTTCCATCAGTTGTTGAGGCAGTAGGCAAGTATGGCCCAAGGAGCAATGTAGATGAGTAGAAAGAGCATGGACTTTGGAGTCAGAGGCTTGAGTTTAAATCTTGGCCTTACTAGCTCTGTGACCTTGGCAGGATACTAGAGTATCACACAGAATAATTTCACTGCCTTAATATCCCTTGGGTTCTATATATGTATCCCAACCCCCAATTCCCACCCCCAGACACCTGGCAACCAGTGATCTTTTTACTGTCTTCGTAATTTTGCCAGTTTTAAAAATTTATATAGTTGGAATCATACAACATGTAGCTTTTTCAAATTGGCTTCTTTTACTTAGCAGTGTGGATTTAAGGCCTCTCCATGTTTGTTTGTTTGTTTTAAGTATGTGTATGTGTCTGTCCATGGCTCGATACCTTATTTCTTTGTTTAGCTGGATAGTATTCTCTTTATGGATGTATCTGTTCCTTTGTCAAGTTTTTATGTTTTTGTCATGTGTTTTCTCCTGATTGTTTATGTCTTCTGACATTCTGTATTCATTTCCAGTTTGTTTTTAGGATTGTGGTACAATATACATAGTGTAAAATTTACTACGCACTATAAATTTAAATTATGTCCCCCCTAAATTTCATATGTTGGTTGAAGCCTCAACTCCTGATGTGACTTTATTTGGAGTTAGGGCTTTGGGGGATCATTAAGGTTAAATGAGGTTACAAGGGTCCTAATTTGATAGGATTGGTGGTTTTATAAGAGGAAAAGAGAGCAATCTCTCCTTACATGCACACACTGAAGAAAGGCCATGTGAGGACACAGTGAGAAATTAGCCCCACAAGTCAGGAAGAGGGCCCTCACCAGGAATCAAATTGTCCTGACATCTTGGTTTTAGACTTTCAGGCTTCAGACCCGTGAAAAAATAAACTTCTGTTGTTTAAACGAGCCAGTCTCTGGTATTTTATTATGACAGCCTGACCAGGCAAAGACAGATTTTGGCACTGAGAAGCAAAGCACTGATATAATAAATACCTAAAAACATAACATGCCTTTCAAACAGAATAATAGGTATGGACTAGAAGAGTTTTGAGGTACATACTAGAAATGTGGGTGGTAAGGGAAATTTTCATTAGCTCTCAGGTAGAAATGGAGAACATGTTTTTTGGAAAATAGAGGCAATATCATCCATGTTATGAAGTAAATTTGATCTGTGTTCGAATGTTTGGTGGGAGAACTTGGAAGTGATGAATTTGGTTATGTAGGTGAGAAGATCTCTAAGCTAAATGTCAAAATTGTGCCTTGGTTCTTCCTAATTACTTATAGTAAAATGTAAAAGGAAAGACATGATTTGAGGAAGTAATTGTAAGCATAAAGGAACTAGAACCTGAAGATTTGAAAAACTCTCAGCTGATTTTATTGCAGAAAATAAGAAAGATTGTTTTGAAAGGAACACAAAGGATGTGGTTGTACAGCCATTTGCTAAAGAAGTCATGGGTGTGACACCTTAGCAGAAGCCAGGAACAGAGATGGGATTATATCAACTAAGCCACTGCCAGTTTGAACTGGAGGAGACAAAGAAATTGGGGATAGAACCAGGAAAGGCTGCCAAACTTCTTAGAACCTGTATTCTAGAAATGTTCAGGGCTGCTCTCAGTTTCTAAGGGTGGGGCCATTGCCATAATTTCTTTCTTTCTTTCTTTTTTTTTTAGAGAGAGAGAGAGAACTTTTAATATTTTTTAGTTTTCGGCAGACACATCTTTGTTTTTTTTTTGTATGTGGTGCTAAGGATTGAAACCGGGCCGCACGCATGTCAGGCGAGCGCGCTACCGCTTGAGCCACATCCCCAGCCCCCATTGCCATAATTTCAAGGAGTCAGATGACTTCTGCCAGAGGCCTTGGGGGGTAGGGCCACCTAGAATCTTGGAGGTGAGGATGCCTAGAACTTTTGAGGGCAGGCCCCTCTGGAGCCTTTGGATCTAGCAGGGTAGGTTGCTGACCCAGTAGGTCGTAAGGATGAGACCACCATCACAGTGAGGCTGGAAGGCAGGACACTGAGGCAAAAAGGATTATTCTTGAGATTTCAGATCTAATACAATTTACCTTGTTAAGTTTTGGATTTGCTTGGGTCTGGTCACCTTTTATTCTGTGCTATTTCTCCTGTTTGGAGTAGGAATATCTTTCCTAAGGTAGCAAATAATTTTGTTTTGGAAGCACATGATATATATGGTTTCACAGCTGGGCAGGTATTTTGCCTCAGGATGACTCATACTTTTGAGTCTTGCCCACATCTGAGTTAGATGATATTTGGATGAGACTTTGGACATTGGAGTTCATGCTGAAGTTAAGACTTCTAGGGCTTAAGACTAAGACATCTTCTTAACCATTTCTGAGTATGGTTCAGGAGTACTACTCTAGTCTATTTTCTGTTGCTAATAGCACTCTACCACAGACTGGGTAAGTGATAAAGAAAGAGGTTTATTTTGACTCATGGTTTTGGTCCAAGGGCAAGGGGTCTTGGTGATGTTTCTTGCTGGCAGGGTCCCCAGGCTGTGCAGAGCACTACATAATAAGAAACCAGAACGGCCACTGAGAGACCTAGCCAAACCATCTCCTACAGAAGATCCACTCTTTATCTTTTTAAAATTTTTATTTGTTCATTTTAGTTATACATGACAATAGAATCTATTTTGATATATTTTTATAAGCATGGAATAAATCTTATTCTAATTAGGATCCCAGTCTTGTGGTCTTGTGGATATACACAATGTGTACATATATGTGGTGTATTCATATATGTACATAGGAAAGTTATGTCAGATTCGTTCCACTGTATTTCCTATTCCTATGCACCCTGCTTCCCTTCATTCCCCTTTGTCTACTCCACTGAACTTCTTCTATCCCCCTCGACTGTGCTGCATTGTGAGTTAGTATCCACATGTCAGAGAACATTCGACCTTTGGTTTTTTGGGATTGGCTAATTTCACTTAGCGTGAGAGTCTCCAGATCCATCCATTCACAAAAGTTATTTTCCTTATCCATTCTTTTGTTAATGGGCATCTAGGTTGGTTCCATAGCTTGATTATTGTGAATTTTGCTGCTATAAACATTGTTGTAGCTGCATTACTGTAGTATGCTGATTTTAATTCCTTTGGATATATACCAAGGGGTGGGATAACTGGGTCAAATGGTGGTTTTATTCCTAGTGTTTTGAGAAATCTCCATACTGCTTTCCAGAGTGATGGTAATTTGCAGTCCCACCAACAATATATGAGTATCCTGTTCCTCACATCCTTGCCAACATTTATTGTTACTTGTATTCTTGATAATTGCCATTCTGGGTAGAGTGAGGTGAAATCTCAGTGTAGTTTTAATTTGCATTTCTCTTATTGCTAGAGATGTTGAACATTTTTTCATACATTTATTGACTGTGTTACTTTTGAGAAGTGACTGTGTAGTTCCTTTGCCATTTATTGATAGGGTTATTTTTTTTTGTGTGTGTGTTAAGTTTTTTGTGTTCTTTCTATATTCTGGAAATAACACTTTATCTGAGGTGCGGATGGCAAAGCTTTTCTCCCATTTTGTAGGCACTCTTTTTACGCTCTTGATTGTTTCCTTTGCTGTGCAGAAGCTTTTTAGTTTGTTATCATCCCATTGATTGATTTTATGTTTTACTTCTTGTGCTTTAGGAGTCTTCTTAAGGAAGTCACTTCCTAAACTGACACATTGGAGTTTTGAACTATATTTTAGAACATACACTTATGAGATAACTCATTAATTACATGAGTGGATTAATTCATTTATGAGGGCAGAACCCTAGTCAATTCTTTAAAGTATTATTTGTTCCTACCTTTTTTGGGGTGGAGGGGATGGGAGATGGTTACTGGATCTTTAACCCAGAGGGGCTTTACCACTAAGCTACCTCCCCCATCCCTTTTTTAGTTTTTATTTTGAGACAGGGTCTCACTGAGTTGCTTAGGGCCTCACCAAATTGCTGACACTGGCCTTGAACTTGTGATCTTTCTGTCTCAGCCTCCTGAGTTGCTGGGAATACAGGCAAGCACCACTGTGTCCAGTGGTACTTCCTTTTAATATGCCATTTTGGGTATTAAATCTCAACATGAATTTTGGAAGGGTCAAAGCATACCCAAATCACAGCACTCATATAAGTACAACCAATAGAGTATTAGTCCTTTTGTGACTGACTTATTTTACTTCACCTAATGTCCTCAAAGTTCATCCTTGGTGTTCTAAGTGATACGCTTTCCTTTCATTCAATATATATATATATATATATACACTACATTTTGTTTCATGATCTAACCATTAGTGGATACTTGGGTTGCTTCTACTTTTTGACTATTGTGAATAAGGTTGCTATTAACATGGCTGTACAAATATTTCTTTGAGGCCCAGCTTTCAGATCTTTTGGGTATATATTGAGAAGTAGAATTCTGGGCCATATGTTATTCTATTTTTATTTTCTTGACAAGCCGTTGTAATGTTTTTCATAGTGGCTGCACCATTTTACGTTCCTACCATCAGTGCACAAGGGTTCTAATTGTTCCATATTGTTGCCAACACTTTTATTTGTTTATTTATTTATTTTAATAGTAGCCATCCTCATGGGTATGAAGTAGTATCTCATTGTAATTTTGATTTACATTTGCTTGATTAGGGATGTTGGTTAGTGATGCTGAACATTTTTTTCATGTGATTGTTGGTCACTTGAATGTCTGATTTGGAGAAATCTCTGTTCATGTTCTTTGCCCATTTTTAAAATTGGATTGTTTATTTTTTTTTCTTGAGTATAGTACTTTACGTGTTTTGGATATTAAACTCTTTATCAGATATGATTCGCAAAGATTTTCTTTTATTCTGTGGGTTGCTTCTTCATTCTGTTAACTATGTCCTTTGAGGAACAGAAGATCTTAATTTTGATGTAGTCCAGTTTATCCATTTTTCTTTTGCTGTCTGTGCTTTTGGTATCATGTCCAAGAAATCATTACCAAATCCGGTATCATGAAGCTTTTTCATTATGTTTTCTACCAAGAGTTTTATGATTTTGGCAGTTAGGTTTGGATTTTGATCCATTTTGAGTTAACTTTAATATATGGCATAAGGTGTGGTCCAACTTGATTCTTTTGCATATGAATAGCCAGTTTTCTCAGTGTTGTTGAAAAGACTGTCCTTTCTTCTTTAAGTGGTCTTGTCACCCTTGTTCAAATCATTAAACTGTGTATACAAGTTTTATTTTTCTGTATTCTATTCCATTGACATATGTGTCTGTTTTCATGCCACTGTTTTGATAATTGTACACTCTTTTGATTATTGTGGCTTTTAATGAGTTTCAAATCAGGAAGTGTAAAACCTTCAGCTTTGTTCATTTTTAAGACAAATTTGGCTATTCAGGGTCCTATGAGATTCTATATGAATTTCAGGATGGATTTTTCTATATTTCTGCAAAAACCATCCTTGTAGTTTTGATAGGGATTGCATTAAGTCAGAAGATTCTTTGGATAGTTTTGATATCTGTCTGTTTTGAACTGCTACAGCAAAATACCTGAGGTAATTTCTTAAAAAAAAGAAATTATATTTCTAATTTCTGGAAGCTGGTAAGTCTGAGATTGAGGTGTCCAGCATCTGGTGATGCGGTATCATCACATGATGGAAGGAGGAATAGAAAAAGAGACCACACATATGACAGAAGGGCATGCCAGCTGAATGCTGTGTAAAGACCATTTTATAAAGACCTTAATCCTATTTATGAGAGAGGAACCTCCTTGATCTTCCCCTCTTAAACCCTCCTACCTCATTAATATCACATTGGCAATACCTGAATTTTGGAGGGGACACATTCAAATCGTAGTTGTATCTTAACAACTTTAAGTCTTCTCTGAACTTTAGATGTCTTTCCATTTGCTTGTTTCTTTTATTTCTTATTAATATTTTATAGTTTTCAGCATGAAAATCTTTTGCCTCCTTGGCTAAATTTATTTCTAAGTATTTTGATATTATTGTAAGTAATTTCTACTTTTAAATGTTTTAAAAACTATTTTTTACCTTTACATTTAATTCATTTGGGATTTTAGTTTATAGTGAGAAGTATACATTATCTTAAAAATTTTTTTTTCAAATAGAACAATTGCCTCAGTACCATATATTCATTAACATTTTCATTTCCCACAGATTTGTGATACTATATTCATCATATTACATTTTCCTTTTCTAAGTTACCTATACTGTATCACTCATCTGTTGATTCCTGTGTTTCTCCTTAGAATATAGAGTCTAGTCTGGGAGTGGACATGCATTTAGCACTATAGGAGAGTGGTTGCCCAGCCACTTGACTGCTCTTCATGTTCTTAAATGTTTGCTATTTCCACTTCCCATGTTTATTATCTGAAAAACACATGATTGCTTCTTATTAGAATCATTAGCTTTCTTAGATTCAGCTACATTTATTATATGATTTCTGTTACATAAAGCAATTGTTAACCTAGAGATTGGTGAGTATTATAGTAGCTTAGGTCTTCTAAGGATAGTTCTCATTTCTTTTGTCAGATATTCGTTGGTTTGGTGGTGTACCTCTTATTTCCTTGGGCAGGAAGACTGAGAAACAACCAGTATATGTAAGTACACTGGGTGAAGGGGCTTAGAAGTGGACATTAGCTGACTTCAAGTTTATGTGATCAATTTTCTAATCCAGTAAATTCATCGTTTTCTTTTTGTTTGCTTCAACTGGTTGCCTCTCAGTTTACCTAAGTGGTGCATGTCTTCTCCATATCTTCACTTATTCATTTATTCAAGAAGGTTTGATTAAATCCTCTGTTGAATCCACCGGACATGTCACTGGAAATACAGAAGTATTAACTAGGCAGACACAAATTGCTATACTCAAATTGCTCACAGCACCCTACCTCTAGTTATGACTACTAAAAATGTCTCCAGACAGTGTCAAATGTTCTCCGGGGACTAGAATCATCCCAGGGGCCTAAAACCACCTAAGATTACTTTTTAGAAAGTAAAAAGATAGAACATTAACATTATTGAAAATTAACATATTATTTCATGTGGTTTAGGTTTGCTATTCCACTTCCCATGTTTATTATGGCTTACTAACAGTTGGGGGTTGTGGTGAGAGATGAGTTTGATGAGATAGTGGGCAAAGACTAATCAGAAAGACCTGAGCCATCTGAAGATAAATGCTTGTAGAGAAATTACTTAGGTGAGCCTCAAATGAGGAGATTATTTGAGCTCTTGTGAAGGTGGGTTATTTAAGAAGCTTTCTGAAAATATATAGTGCCTTTATTTTGTCAGATTTTTGTTGTGATTGGTGTCATCTCTTTACTTCTCCTTTATTATTTCATCCCTTCCTTTCTCCTTTCTTCCTATCTCTCCATTTCCTTTTCGTTCTCTTTCAATGGTTACTTAAACATATTAAATTTCTGTAGGTTGTAGATGTATCCAAAGGAATTATTAATACAATTAAAGACCCAGATGCCAGAGGAAAAACCTTTGCCTTTGTTGGGTAAGTACCTAGAGTTTGACTTCAGTGAAAGAATCATAATTGTTTTAATGATGGAATCATAGTGGTTTATAATGACCGTCTTTCTAAACAACTCATTAATAATTTATTTGTTACAGTTTTACAGTATCAGAATCTTTTGTAGGCTTACATTGAGAATTTGAGAGAATCTAAGAATCTTTTTTTAATAAATGATTCTTCTGTCATTAAACCTGAGGACAACTACCCTAGACTATTACCTTAGTAACCCTTTGGATCTATAGGTCCCTCATCTATCTGTTCAACATTTTTCAGGTCAGAAATATTCAGGGGAAAAAAATCATGTCTGTACTAAACATGTACCCTGTTTTTCCTTGTCATTATTCCCCAACCATTTACATAGCATTTGCATTGTTTTGGATATTATAAGTAGCCTAGAGATGATTTAAAGTACACAGATGATCAGTGCATAGGTTGTATGCAAATACTATGTCATGTCATGTAAGGGACTTGAGCATTCACAGATTTTGGTGTCAATTTGAGGGTCCTGGAACCAGTCCCCTGATTGTACTTTGGTCAGTGATCCTTAAAGTTGGCTTTGTTACTACTACCGTGATTTTTTTGTTTTTTAATATATAAAATGGTTTTGCCCATGAATTCTAAAACACACGACATTTTTTGGAGAGTGTCTATAGTTGTAAAACCAAATTAGTTTTGATAGATACAGTTAGTAGAGTGATCGTTTGTTCTGCTAGAGTGATCATTTGTTCTATGCTCTTTTTGTTCAAATTTGCTCTTAGAAATAACTGGGCACAGTTAAACTATGTGACTTATCTGAAATTATTAAATCATGTCACAGCTAGACCGCTTTGCTGAATTAACTAAAAGTTGAAAACTAAAAATCAGTCTACCAAGTTGAGACACAACTAAGTGGTCTATAAATTAATGATACCTGATATTCTATGAAAGGTTGGAATCTTATTCAACAATTAAATGACAGCCTGATTCCTAGAAATAGTTCTAAAGAAAATGACACTTTTCTCTCTAAGCTAGGAAGTGATAATATATATTCCCAGTATTCTGAATATATACATTGATAGATTTTACCATCATTATTAATTTAGATTAGTAATTTTTTTTTCTCTGTGCATGTATTATTTTTCCATGCCAACTAGCTGCTGTAAAATGTATCTTTTTAATTCCCCATTTGGTATATTACCATGCAACTATCCATATACTCTAGGAAAATTATTTACAAAAAAAATATATTTATCCCAGGTTCCATAGAACACTAGACTCAGAAGACATCAGGCTTTCTTGAAGAGGGGTTAGGCTATGATTCCTAGCAACAAATGAACAGAAATGGTTCTGTGATCTTTTCTTGCTTACTGCTCAGTGGAAATAACTATGGATAAGTGGATATTTTTTCTCTTTATCTTTGCCCAGTCATTCTGCTGTCTTTGCTAAGCTCCAATATTTTATTTTTGTTTGGCATGATATTGGAATACTAGACATGTCAGTGTAGGATTTTTTCCTTAGGAATTTGTAGATATGCAGCATACATTCTTTTTTTTGGCCCCAGGCAAACACTATTTCTCTGATATTTTGAGGCCAAGAGAGTGGCATAAAACTTTAATTTTGCTCCTAAGTTTTTATATTATATTATAATCATATATCATATCATTGCTTCATTTATAATTCATTCATTAAATACCTATAGATACATGCACATATACAATGATAACTAATAAACAATAAAATCTCAAAGTACAAGATCAATATAGAAACGTAAATTTATGTATATTAGTAAATGAACTACTACAAGTAAAGAAAGAAAATTTTATTCATAACAACATCAAAAAGAATAAAATATTTAGGTATAAATTTAACAAGAGACATACAAGACCTGTACACTGAAAAGTACAAAACTCTGCTGAAGGAAATTAAAGAAAAACTTAATATGTGATAAGGCATCCCATATTCTTGGATTGGAAGAGTCAAAATTGTTTAGTGGCAGTTTTCCCCAAATTGTTCCATAGATTCAATTCAGTGCTTTCCTAATTCCAGCAGACTCTTTTTTTCTCCTAACTTTTTTGCCTGGATTATAGATTAAGGGAAGGCAGATAATTTGGTTTAAGTAAAATAAGGACTTTACTTGGTGGGTGTAGTGGAGAAGGGGCTGGGGGACAGGGTTTACTGAGGATATTTGCAGAAAAATGGCTATGATGCTGAACCATGTAAGCTAAGTCTTGAAGGACATAGGCTTCCTTTTTCTGAGAGCGAGCACACTGAAGCTGGTTTCCTAGTTAATGGAATGCAAGCTACTTTAGAACAGCTGAAGAAGAAACATATTACCTATAGTTAGTTTACCCTTGATACCAGTTTTGTTTGCATCATAAAAGTTAGAAGTTGTTCTTGGTGTAATATGTGTTATGTCCTGCAGTGATCCTTGCAAATCTTTCTGGAATTTGAGGGAAGCTAGTTAAGGGCTTTTTGTATACTTTCCTTAGCTGATGCCAACATTTTCATTTTTTTTTTTTTGTAGGATATGTCATAATGATGAAGTTCTTTAAATTATCTTCATTTGTCTCATAGTTAATCATAGATTTTTCGAGGCAAAAGGGATTAAAAAATGAGTGAAGAGATATTAAAATGTACAAGTTATGATAATTATTGAAGTTAGGTTTTACTAGTACAAAATGATTCAGATCAGTGGAATAGAACAGAAAGTCCAGAAATAATCCCAAATATATGTAAAAATGTAATGTGTGAGAAGGGTGACATTTCAATATATGATGTATTAGTCAGCTTTCTTTTGCTCTGACAGAAATATCTGACAAGAACAACTTAGAGGAAGAAAAGTTTATTTTGGCTCATGGTTTCAAAGGTTCCGTCCATGGTCAACTGTCTCCATTGCTGTGGGCCTGAGGTGAGGCAGAGCATTACGGCAGGAGGTCTTGGTGGAGGACAGCAGCTCAGTTCAGGGCCGTTAGGAAGCAGAGAGAAAGCAGAAGCGCCAAAATAATAACACCCAAAGCCTGCCCCTGGTGACTTGCTTTCTCTAGCCACACCCTACCTGCCTATAGTTACCACTCAGTTCATTCAAATTATTAATCCAGCAAATGAACTAATTTTTGGATTATGTTACAGCTCTCATGATCCAATATTGACCATTCAGAAGCACCTCAAATCCAAATCATAACATATGGAGAAAGGGTCAATTTAGTAAATGATTCAGTAAGTGTTGTTGAAGCAATTGCCTAACATCTTGGGGAAGATTTAATTACATCTTTACCTTATGTCATGTACAAAAATATGTCACAGAAGGAACTTAATTTGGCTTAAAAAAACCCAAAAGCATTAGACAAAATATGTGGAAATTTGTGTTGCTATAGAGGGATTTCTAAATGTGAAACTAAATCATAGAGGAAAAAAAATCAGTCAATTTTGATTAAATAAAATTTTTAAACTTTTATATGATACAAAGTACCAAAAACAACATTAAAAGGCATTAATACACACAATAAAAGATATTTCCAGCTGGGCAAGGTGACACATGCTCGTAATCACAGCTACTTGGGAGGCTGAGGCAGGAGGATCACAAGTTCAAAGCCAGCCTGGGTAACTTAGAGAAACCCAGTCTCAAAATAAAATTTAAAGTAAAGGGCTTAGGATATAGTTTGGTGGCATTCTTGCCTAGCATGTGTAGTACCCTGGATCCAATCCCAAATCACACATATACACAGAACCACAAAAAGGTATTTCCAGCTTTATCACTAGAACATAAAAAAATTCTTATAAATCATTATTAGCAAAGAAAAGATATATGTGTAAATGGCCAAAAATAGATGAAGAAATCAAATCTTGTGTATTAACTGCCAATTAAAATACTGAAGTATCTTACTTACATAAGCAATATTATGTTTATTTTTTTATGATTCAACTCATGTTTTTGAAGGGCAGCCTTATTATCACTTTATATAAATTGATAAGGCAGTTTAGAAATAATCAATAAAAGCCTTAAGATTTCAAAATATGGTTTGACCCTGTTCCACATTAGAAATGTAATCTAAATATATAATATGGATTCAGACAAATGTTTACTATAAGAATGTTTATTGAAACATTATTTTATAAAAAAGATTTTTATTAGCCTAAATAGTCCCCAAATGGGAATTGGTAAAATAGATTATATGCAATGAAATGTGTGTCATCATTAAAGATGCACTAGAATAGTTAATAACACAGAAAGAAGATTGTGGTGTAATGTTTAAAACACAGGATGTATTGTATAATCTTACATTATACAATACATCTTACATTGTGAAAGGAGGTGATATGTATATATGTAAGAGGATGAAAAGGCTATCTATATCAAATACATTAACTTTATCTTTGGTAATGGGATTATGGATGATTTTTCTTTGTGTTAATCTATATTGGCTATAGTGCTTATGTTTTTTTTTTTTTTTTTTTT